CTCTTACTGCTGCTGCGATCCTGATGCATAAGTTTCAATTGATGAACATCGTACGTCAACCATAAAACTTCTCACAAAATCATCAAACTGTTCTGTTGCAAATTTGCTACCAGGGTCGCAGAAATGCAAGGAGGTATGGCGGTACTTTGCTCCTATTGCAATATGGCGCGAAATTCAACCGTCTTAGACCTCTTGCTGTTTCTGCGATCCTAATACAGAATTTTCAGTTTAAGATATCGCAGATCCAAAGTATCTTGCACACTTGTCAAGCTCGGTAGGTAAAATTTGTTATCAAGATAGCAGAAACGCTAGGAGGTATGAAAAATATTTGCTCCTACTACAAAGTTGGCGGGCAACCCAAGTATCTCTGTGAGACCTATTACTGCTGCTCCGATCCTGATACATAAGTTTTAATTGATGAACAGCGCACTTCAACCATAGAACTTCTTGCAAAATCATCAAACTGTTCTGTTGCAAATTTGCTACCAGGGTCGCAGAAATGCAAGGAGGTATGACGGTACTTTGCTCCTATTGCAATATGGCGCGAAATTCAACCGTCTTAGACCTCTTGCTGTTTCTGCGATCCTAATACAGAATTTTCAGTTTAAGATATCGCAGATCCAAAGTATCTTGCACACTTGTCAAGCTCGGTAGGTAAAATTTGTTATCAAGATAGCAGAAACGCTAGGAGGTATGAAAAATATTTGCTCCTACTACAAAGTTGGCGGGCAACCCAAGTATCTCACACCTATTACTGCTGCTCCGATCCTGATACATAAGTTTCAATTGATGAACATCGCACCTCAACCATAAAACGTCTTGCAAAATGATCAAACTGTTCTGTTACAAACTTACTACCAGGATCGCAGAAACGCAAGGAGGTATGACGATACTTTGCTCCTATTGCAAAATGGCGCGAAATTCAAACTTCTTACACCTCTTGCTGCTTTTGCGATCCTAATACAGAATTTTCAGTTTAAGATATCGCAGATCCAAAGTATCTTGCACACTTGTCAAGCTCGGTAGGTAAAATTTGTTATCAAGATAGCAGAAACGCTAGGAGGTATGAAAAATATTTGCTCCTACTACAAAGTTGGCGGGCAACCCAAGTATCTCACACCTATTACTGCTGCTCCGATCCTGATACATAAGTTTTAATTGATGAACAGCGCACTTCAACCATAGAACTTCTTGCAAAATCATCAAACTGTTCTGTTGCAAATTTGCTACCAGGGTCGCAGAAATGCAAGGAGGTATGACGGTACTTTGCTCCTATTGCAATATGGCGCGAAATTCAACCGTCTTAGACCTCTTGCTGTTTCTGCGATCCTAATACAGAATTTTCAGTTTAAGATATCGCAGATCCAAAGTATCTTGCACACTTGTCAAGCTCGGTAGGTAAAATTTGTTATCAAGATAGCAGAAACGCTAGGAGGTATAAAAAATATTTGCTCCGGCTACAAAGTTGGCGGGAAACCCAAGTATCTCAGACCTCTTACTGCTGCTGCGATCATGATGCATAAGTTTCAATTGATGAATAGCGCACTTCAACCATAGAACTTTGTTACGCGGATCGCAGAAACGCAAGGAGGTATGAAGGTACTTTGCTCCTATTGCAAAATGGCGCGAAATTCAACCGTCTTTCACCTCTTGCTGTTTCTGCGATCCTAATACAGAATTTTCAGTTTAAGTTATCGTAGATCCAAAGTATCTTTCACACTTGTCAAGCTCGGTAGGTAAAATATGTTATCAAGATAGCAGATATGCTAGGAGGTATGAAAAATATTTGCTCCAACTACAAATTTGGCGGGAAACCCAAATATCTCACACCTCTTACTGTTGCTCCGATCCTGATACATAAGTTTCAATTGATGAACATCGCACCTCAACCATAAAACTTCTTACAAAATCATCAAACCTGTTGCAAATTTGCTACCAGGATCGCAGCAACGCAAGGAGGTATGAAGGTACTTTGCTCCTATTGCAAAATGGCGCGAAATACAACCGTCTTTCACCTCTTGTTGTTTCTGCGATCCTAATACAGAATTTTCAGTTTAAGATATCGTAGATCCAAAGTATCTTGCACACTTGTCAAGCTCGATAGGTAAAATTTGTTATCAAGATAGCAGAAACGCTAGGAGGTATAAAACATATTTGCTCCGGCTACAAAGTTGGCGGGAAACCCAAGTGTCTCAGACCTCTTACTGCTGCTGCGATCCTGATGCATAAGTTTCAATTGATGAACATCGCACCTCAACCATAAAACTTCTTACAAAATCATCAAACCTGTTGCAAATTTGCTACCAGGATCGCAGCAACGCAAGGAGGTATGAAGGTACTTTGCTTTGTCAGTTTAAGTTATCGTAGATCCAAAGTATCTTTCACACTTGTCAAGCTCGGTAGGTAAAATTTGTTATCAAGATAGCAGAAACGCTAGGAGGTATGAAAAATATTTGCTCCAACTACAAATTTGGCGGGAAACCCAAATATCTCACACCTCTTACTGTTGCTCCGATCCTGATACATAAGTTTCAATTGATGAACATCGCACCTCAACCATAAAACTTCTTACAAAATCATCAAACCTGTTGCAAATTTGCTACCAGGATCGCAGCAACGCAAGGAGGTATGAAGGTACTTTGCTCCTATTGCAAAATGGCGCGAAATACAACCGTCTTTCACCTCTTGTTGTTTCTGCGATCCTAATACAGAATTTTCAGTTTAAGATATCGTAGATCCAAAGTATCTTGCACACTTGTCAAGCTCGGTAGGTAAAATTTGTTATCAAGATAGCAGAAACGCTAGGAGGTATAAAAAATATTTGCATCGCACCTCAACCATAAAACGTCTTGTAAAATGATCAAACTGTTCTGTTACAAACTTACTTCCAGGATCGTAGAAACGCAAGGAGGTATGACGATACTTTGCTCCTATTGCAAAATGGCGCGAAATTCAAACTTCTTACACCTCTTGCTGTTGCTGCGATCCTAATACAGAATTTTCAGTTTAAGATATCGTAGATCCACAGTATCTTGCACACTTGTCAAGCCCGGTAGGTAAAATTTGTTATCAAGATAGCAGAACCGTTAGGAGGTATGAAAAATGTTTGTTCCTACTACAAAGTTGGCAGGAAACCCAAGTATCTCACACCTCTTACTGCTGCTCCGATCCTGATACATAAGTTTCAATTGATGAACATCGCACCTCAACCATATAACGTCTAGCAAAATCAGCAATCTGATCTGTTACAAACTTGCTACCAGGATCGTAGAAACGCAAGGAGGTATGGAGGTACTTCGCTCTTATTGCAAAATGGCGCGAAATTTTTATTTCTTACACCACTTGCTGTTTCTGTGATCCCATTACAGAATTTTCAGATATCGTGGATCCAATGTATCGTTACACACTTGTCAAGCTCGGTAGGTAAAATTTGTTATCAAGGTAGCAGAAACGCTAGGAGGCATGAAGATATTTGCTCCTATAAACTAAATTGGCGGAAAATTCAAAATTCTTGCACCTCTCGCTGCTTCTGCGACCCTGATACAGAATTTCCATGTTATGAATAACGAACATCTGCACATAATTTCCTACAAAATCGTCGAACTGGTTGGGCAAAATTTGCTACCAGGATCGCATAAAAATGATGAGGGATGAATCAAATATTTGGTTCTGTCAGAAAGTTGGCGGGAAAACCAAGCCTCTCACACCTCTTACTGTTTCTCACATCTCCATTTTCTGCAATGCTTATACGGAATTTTCGGGTTACGATATCGCACACCCGACTAAAGATTCTTGCAAAATCGTCAAACTCGGTAGATAAAATTTGTTACCAGGTTCGCAGAAACGCGAGGAGGTATGAAGACATTTGACTGTGCTGTAATCCTAATACAGAGTTTTCAGGTTATCATATCGCACATTCGAACAACTATCTTTCACATTTGTTAAACTCGGTAGGTAAAATTTGTTATGGAGATCGCAGAAACGTGAGGAGGTATGAATACAGTTTGCTCCTGCTACAAAATTGGCGGAAAATGAAAACTTCTCACACCGCTCAACGTTTCTGCGATCCCGATACTGAATTTCCAAATAATGAATAAGGAATATCTGAGAATAATTTCCTACAAATTTGTCGAACTGGTTGCTACCACGATCGCAGAAATGTCAGAAGGTATGAAAATACATTTGCTCCTTCTACAAAGTTGGCGGGAAACCCAAGCCTCAAAAGCACCAACTCGGTAGGTACAATTTCTTCTCGCTATTTCTGCGATCCTGACAAAGAATTTTCGCATTTGAAAATTAGTCAAATTTTATAGGGGAAATGCGAGGAGGTATAAAGAAGATATTTGCTCCTGCTACAAAATAAGCGGGAAATTCAACCATCTCACACTTCTCGCCGTTTCTGCGATCCTGATACATAAGGGTTTTAATTGTTGAACATCACACATCTGGCAAAAACTTGCCAGAAATTTAAATTTCCTATACAACTACCGCTTGCTGCTTCTGCGATCCTGATACATATGTAATTGTCAGCTGATGTACATCGCACACCTCACCAAAACTTATTGCAAAATCATCGAACTGGGTGGGTCAAACTGGATTGCAGAAATGCAAAGAGGTATAAAGAGGGGACTTGGCTCCTGATAGAAAATTGGCAGGAAATTCAACCCTCTCACACCTGTTTCCATTCTTGATACACATAATTTTTGACTAGCAAATAACGAACACATGGCTATTGCAAAATCGTCAAATCTGGTTGATAAAATAAAAAATATGTACTCCTACTACAAAGTTGGCGGGAATCGTAAAAGCGCTCCTATAGTATAAAACTGGCTGGAAATTTATACTTACCGAACAACTACCTCTCGTATACGGTACATATGATCAAAGTTTCTTGGAAAATTATTTAATTGAGCAAAACTTACCCTCACCCTCTGACCACGATCCAAGATGTGTATGGTCTACATCTGGCATCTACTTTGAACACGGTAACCATGGTAACAGATAAACTTAATGTACACAGTTCGTTAAACAAAATCAATACAAACAGAAATAACACATAACACGTGAAACATGACAGACGGTACTTTTCTAGTTTGTATCTCTGGACAAATAGAATGGATTGACGTTTTGGCTTCTGCTGGAAGCTCATGGCATTGCAAATGTGATTTTTTCTCAGGTGAGATTTACAAAACTTTATCACTTTTACATTAAGCTGGAAGGTATACAGGAACGGACTTTGCCCAAAATGTACTCGTGAATTTTTAATTCAGTCTACGTTTTATTCAGATTTCAAAAATTCCAGGTCCGGATTGGAAGATAATTGGTGGATTGGAAGCTGGACTTTCACAAATTGCCAATGTTCTCCATAATGGAGACAAAGTTGTATTTAACTTCCCGATTGAAATTCAGTTCAAATCTACTAATCCTTATGGTTGTAAGTATTCATAACATATTAGTTAAATGTTAGTTGAACGGAAATTCAAGTTTTTGTTGTTAAATTTTGTGACATGCTACACTTATTTCCACAAAAAATTCATTTTTGTGATAGGTAAACTGTACAACACGAGTCGTTCTGTAATATCATTTTGAATCATAATTTTTATTTAAGGGCCTCAAATAATCCTTAGCGTCTACAAAGGCATGCAACTTGCGGGATATGGAAGAGCCCACATGCCGATAAGCGTTGGCACTCATGAATTAGACGTAGCTCTGTCAAAACCCCAATCGTCTTCAATGTTAGGTTACATCGCCTCGTTTTTTGGTTACCAACCAGAGCTTTTACAGCCGAAGATGTTAGCTACAACCGCAGGCAACAGCTGTGAGTCATAATATAGTATCTAGAATTTCATTTATATGTGATTACCTTTTACCGATATATCGTAGCTGAAAAAGATCCTGTGACGAAATGTTTGCCCCTGGTACAAAATTGTCGGAAAATTCAAACCTCTTGATGTTTCTGCAATTCTGATACAGAATGTTCTACTACTGATGAATAACGAACATCTGACCAAACACGGAAAATTCAGTATGTACAATTTGTTGCTAGGATCGCAGAAACATGAAGAGGTAAGAAGGATATTTGTTCACACAATTCGCGAGACATTCAGACCTCACCTTTCGCTGTTTATGCGATCCTAATACAGAGTTTTCATACCTAACTAAAGTTTCTTGCAAAATTGTAATTTTTGTAGATAAACTTTGCTACTAGAATCGGGAAAACGCGACGATTTATGAAAGTGGAAAATTCAAACATCTCACACTTCTCGTTGTTTCTGCGATTCTGATAGATGAATTTTCATTGATGACCTGAGCATCTGACCAAAAAAACTTGTTGCAAAATTATCGAACTGGATGGGTAACAATTTGCTGCCAGGATCGCAGATATACGAATAGGTATGAAGAATGTACAAGAATGGCGGCAAAATCCAACTTCTCACACCTCTCGCCATTTCTGCGATTCTAATACAGAATTTTCAGCTTGACATCGTACATCCGACTAGGTTTGAATATTCACATGTGATCAGTGTTTTGCAAAATCGTCAAACTATGCAAGTCAAATTTGCTACGAGTTTGGCAGAAACGTGAAGAGGTACGAAAAAGATATTTCTTCCAAACTGGCGAGAAACTCAAACACCTTTCGACGTTTCTGCGATCGCTATACATAATTTTCAGCCCATGAATAACATAAGAGAGTTTCCGGTAATATCGTCTAATTGCGTTTGTAAAAATTTCCTGCGAAGAGAGAGAAGCGTGTTAGAAAGAGTGCGACATATAAGCGTCGTCACCACGTTGCCTGGCAACGTCAGAGGGCGAGGCGTTATAGCCGCGCTCCGCGCCTTCCCCCACGGACATTGCCAGGCAACGTGGTGACGACATCGTTTCTAACACACTTCTCTCTCTCGTTGTGATTACAATGCTTTAATCACATGTTTCATTGCAGTAATAAAAATGGAGCACGTAGGCTACGCTAGAATCTTCATCAACATGGTAACTCAAGCCTTTCAAAGTTTAGGATACGATGTAGGTAGCAACAGAGGAAATTGATGTATTTTAATAATAAAAACACTAGAAGAAAATTGATTTTTTATTACATAAACATACTATACAATGACATAATACATTAATCTTGTAGCTTAAAAGTATAAATAAATATATCTGGGTAGTGAAATATATTACAACGAAACTGAATGTACAAAAGAGTTAAATTGATAAATATAAAGCTTGACCCGGTTATTGAACGCAAGGTACAGTGTTTTTACAGGCCTGTATCGATGTATAAAGCTACTAAATATATGAAAACTATAAAAAATAGTCCTGTAATACATTTATGTGACTACCGGTTCCGCTATTATATCGTCTCGAATTTTTAATAGAGGTTGAAGACGATAATGTATTCTGGTATCATTATGAAGAATATATATCTGAACTAGGCCATACAAAATTCCTAGGTCCCCATCTGACTTAGCCGATTTTGGAATAATGTAGCAATTATTGCACTATTAGTACCTACTGAAATTGTTTTACAAACAGATTAGTACCTTGCAAATGGGTAGTCACAATATTTGCTTGGACTGTATTTTCGCACATGACCAAAATTATAATTGATTAAGTTTTAATTTTACCTAGGATGATACACATTTCTTAATATTAAAACATTCATCCGTACATTCTTCCATAACATCAAATCTTTACTCTTTGGCAGTTATACACTATTTTGTCCTCACAAATATACAAATTCATAAGGATCGGCAATTACAATATCCTGGTGTTTGTCACAGTCAAGATCATTTTATGTCAGACACCCACTATGTCCAAAAGTTGTTTTCCTAAAATATAAAATGGTCCTATGAGACTGCCATACTAGTTGTATGTATCAAATTAATTATATTCTCCCTCATTTTCAGTTAATTATATTCTATCTCATTTTCAGTTAATATTATTTTGACAATTAAACAGACATCAAGATGGTGTATTGCCATTATTCACAATTATCAGGTATACCCTATTTTGTATATCGAAAATACCACATTAATAATAGACTGAGAAATGAACAGGTACACCGCTACAAATGTATTGAAACTGTTTAATAACAAACATTTCAATGCATTTATAAGGCGCCTTTCAATATTCGAATGTATTATCCTGTAGGCCAAAATGTAACACACTCTAGTGATGCTTTTAGAAAATGATCTTGCTACAGTATTTGTCTAAACACTTACGTGATGAGATGATCATGAAAATTCGTAATACCTACATTATTATCAATACCAAATTCGCATTTAATTAAAAAAGTTCGAAACTTGAATAGATTATTTTAAAAAAAATATTGTGCTTTCGCAAGTGAATAAGAATTCATACCCATCCTTAAGCATTTTTCGAAAATAAAACATTTTGATTACATTCGCTAGAAAATACTAAACAAATTTCACAAATATGTCTTTCTAGTTGCAAAACGTAAAACCCCATAATAAAACATCAAACTACATTTGATTTGAATAACACAGTGTTGATCAAATAGTTCTTCTTATTCCATTGACACGCGATTTCCTGTGAGTTAACAAAATTGATGGAATTTGTGTTAAAATGACAATTTACAACCGCAAAGTTTTCTACTTTTAGTATTAGCGTAAACTACACGAAATTAATAGTACAGTTCAGTTATAAACGTTCATACGTCTAAACGATTTTCATATAGTTAGTTTCAGTACGTACGTCACGGATCAAGTAATGAGCAATAGTTTACAACTTTGAGGTCAATTTTCGTATTATAGTTTGTTCCCTCTAACATCAGAATTCCAAAAATATACAAGGTGTAGTAGTCGCACCTGTATACCATGTATATTGTGACAAGTAAAAAATACACAATAAAAATGGAATGGAAGTTATCAGTCATATGTTTTTGTAAGCTACACAGATTAGCCCAGAAAAACTTAAAAAACCTCAGTTTGACCTTTCGTGGATGAACAATGTTACTTTACACAAATTATCGAAAGTGCTAATAAAGCCATCATTTTCTCAAAAGCTGACAAGTTTTTATGTAATTTTCCTAGGATCTGGGCTAATCCTTTGGCACAGTGTTGATTTTTAAAGAATCTTTGCGCTGTGAGTTGAGTGTGTTGTGTTTGCATTTTGATAATCTATATCAGAGCGTAGCTCGTGGAATTTGTGCAAAAATTATTTTATGGTAATGTATATATTCGAGATCTTATTCGTAAAAAAATACGAATGGCACTTATGTGACTTGTCTAAATTGTTTAGATAAACTAAAGGGGAGAAAAAAATCAATTTAGACAGACACACAGTCAATAGTTCCCATCAAGAGGTTAATAATATCAAAACACTACGTGAAATCATACTAGTTAGTGGAGCATAATCATTAAAAAATTAGGACCCTCATCAATAAAGAGTAGCACTATTTTAATTTTTGCACAGCAAAAATATTACGAGATGTATGTAGTTCAGGCTTGAATGGAAACTTTCATTAAATCGGTAACAATACAGCTGAAAGGTAAACAATGGTAGCTTCATAGGCACAGATTCCATAACGCGTTGATAACCCTGAGAAATCTATGGTTTAAATGCAGTTTATACCAAAACTGGTTAATAGAGAAAGACGACCAGTCAGAGTTAACACCACCAACAAGCAGCAAAAACCTTTAACTCTAGTACGAAGTTAGATTCTTCTGGCATAATTTTGACCAAAGTTATAAGCAAAAAATACTTGGGTTAATGATGTTTTGCCAACATTACCAACAGCACGGTAACATCTTTAGGGTCAAGTACACTTGAGAAAGTAGCATCATACTATTACTTACAGATTACCAATCATCTTCGTATTTTATTGGGGCACTTCATATAATAAAATGAGTTATTCAATCACAAGCCGAAATATGGCCGTAGGCAACATATATTCTGGCGTCTAAAAAAAAATCAGAGATTAAATGAGATATCATGGCGTCATCTGTGAGGATTTGTCACAAATATAGCCGACTATGTAAGCATACATCAGCCTAAATTGGCTATAGCGCCTTCTACGAGACACTAACCGTTCCAAAGTAGAATTCTAATTATTGCGGAGAGGAGAAACATAACTGCGACAAGTTCTTATATATGGTGCCATGGTATTTCATTTCATCTCGGATAATGTTTATCGTTAAACAATGGTTTAACGTACTTCTTTATTAATAAACTTTGATATAAACAGCATTTGAACCTTGGATTTATCACTGCTGCAGATTCTGAGATTGCTCCAACAACCTCTTGATGTAACATCGAAATAATAAAAAAAAAACGAAAACCGTTACTATTGTACCGATTTTGCTGCCTGCATTTCCCAAACAGGTGAACGAAACAAAAATGCATCTACAGCTCAGTAACAGCGTACAACTGCCGTTCGCTTTCACTATTCGCGTACATGGCTTCAGCGCTCTGCGTCTGGTCCTGGATCTTGGCCGACCGGAACTGAGATTGATGGCCAATGGCCAAGCCTCGTTGCAGAGACCGGAACTGCGTGTTGGGCTGGAAGGAGCTCACGCCGTCTTGCCAAGCGCCTCTCTGGAGCGACCTGAAGGATGCAGGGCAAATTAGCGAAGCTGCCCACTCACATACGAACTTCACCCAATTGATTTGAAACATATTTAAATAAGCGATCCCAAGTTGTAAAATTAGACATACTTCAAATGCATTAAATATACACGCAAAAGTACCTTAAGGATTAGTATTCTGTCTGATCCTATTCAAGACATTATCAATGATTTGATAAACACACAATACTTAGGCAAGGCACAAATATAAACGAAATTAAAACAAAAATAGTATGTGCTATACAATCGATCAAAAAATGGTTTCTTGACTTTCAATGTTAATAAGACAAAATGTATGACATTTAGATGCTCCCTTGATTTTATAAAATTAAATAATTAATTGATACACAAAACAGACACCATCAAATTCTTGGGACTGACCATTGATCATAAATTAGATTTTACTAATCATGTAGAAAAATTGCTTGCTCAACTAGCAAATATTTCTTTTATTATAAGAATAATTAGTTACAGCATAGGGAAAAGTACAACCTTAATCAGTTACTTTGCCTTATTTGATTGAGATCTAGTATTCCCTTTTGGCATGTTTGTTCCCAAAATTATTTAAAAAGGTGCTTATTCTACAAAAAAACGAACTATTAGATATATACTAAAAACAGTCCTGAAGCTACCTGCAGGCCTTTACTTGTAAATCTTAAAATAATGACTGTAATATCATTGGTTATTTTTGAAACAGCAACACTTATTTTTAAAAATAAATCTAAATTTGAAGCGTTAAATATAAGTTACAATATGAGACGTAAACAAGATCTTACATCAACACTTGTAAAGGACTCAATAATTTATACTGGTCTGAAAATTTACAGGGGTCTCCCTGATGCTATCAAAAGAAAGAACAATTTAAAGATATTCCGCCGTGAACTTAAAAACTTTTTAATACGTGAACTATGTGTCAGTTTTACAATTCACCCACTTAAAATCAACATATGTATTTATGTTATACTTTAGTTTCAAATAATGAAGATGAAGATTTATTTAGTTAGAAATATGATAACCCTAATATACACAATTAATGAAAATACACAGCAATGAAACAGTAAACATGTAGCAAAAAGATTAGATATCTATAGTCGAAATCACGAAAGCTGACGATTACGTCATCATTTTAGTTTGTAGTAGAGACAAACGACAGCGATTTGTGAATATTTTTAATGAAGTTTCAGATACGTTAGACAGAGACAAACGGAATTTTATTGTCTAAACAAACTGTATTGTTAATTTGCATGTATCCGACAAAGATAGACGATGTTTCCATGTTGTACGATCGATCATATTTGAAAGACGAATAGTTAGGTTATGTTAAAGCAAGTTAGGTTGTTTTGTAATAATACTTTTGTCTTTGGTGTTCCTGTCTTAAGGTATTATACTCATAACTGTTTTTTTTTCAAAACAAAAACTCCCCACTAAAATTATTATTAAGGTATCACTCAAAACCATGAAATACAATGAAAATAAAAATAATCAGTGAAATAACCTCACTTCGCAAAATCATAATATAAATTTGTTGTCATTATGTTCCTGACATCGTGATTTTATCATAGACGTACGTGCATTGATTACTTCAGTAAAATTTATGGTATGACGTAATAGTCATCTTTCGTGATTTTGACTATAGTACATTTTAAAAGGAGCATCAATTGGCAAAACGCCCACTATACAAAACAGAGTGATAATCAACGCAATCTAACCTCACACTGATACAGACTTTTTAATGTGTAATCGGACGATGGTTCAGATATTTTAAATACCTAAAAAAGTTATTTATAAAAATTGAAGACAACTATTCACTCCTAATTTGGAAAATATACTGCTCCCCACATAGTGATTCATCGTTGTACTAGAAGAATTTGCATGCGATTTTCTCCGCCAAAATAGCGACCGTTTTTGACACTGACAGGAGATTTTGTGATTGTTATCTAAGCTGTGATGATATAATAAAAATCACGTGAACACATACAACGTATAAAGGCTGATCCAACGATAACGGGAAATTAGTTTAATATAAAAACTACATCAGATATTAGATTTAATTTTGTTCACAGCGCGAGTAGCGGCCTGGAAACAAAGGAAACAAGGAAACAAAGAAATAGAATCACCAAAAATAAAGATGTGGTCCAACTCTGCTCTGTACCAACCTGAAATTGGCCGGATTGAGCGGCGTCTCAATACTGGCAGTGGGCACCTTGGGCACGGCGACCGGGGGCTGCTTCCTGCCGCCCTTCTCGTCCGGCGTTTGGGGCAGAGGACGTCTGCCCAGCGAGCTGTACTTGTTGATGTTGGCGGTACGTGGGGCCGGCGCTAGTTGTTCTTCGCTCTTCTTCTGACCGGCTTGCGATTGCTGTTGCTGTTGGCGCTGTTGCTGATGCTGCTGTTGGTGGTCCGCTTTGGAACCCTTAAAGTTTGGGAATTCCTTGCAGGCAGCCCTGGAAATTCAGACGTCATGTGGAAAAAGCTGATTGGAAATCAAAAAGTCTGTCTAGGATCCCGAGTCCATTTTCACTCAATTCCAACGACAAAAAAATAGCGTCTAGTAGGATGACTCTGTATTTCCCAAGCTATGATGTCATCAGTTCGTAAAGGATTATGTTTTGCACAAGTTAGCCCTTCTGAGAAAAAGTTAGCTGCGAATATGTATAAAAAAAAAATTGAATGACCTTTTTCCTTCCTCTAGGAGGAATTGCTGCAGGCGCACATGATCAAAACAAAGTTTGGGCGTTTTTTATTCTTTTTGTTTTTGTCCTTTTTCTCCGCCGCCATTGAACCGATTTTTAAAAATGACAATTGCGTCCTTGGTATAGTAGTAACATTGTGTAAAGATTTCATCGGAATCCGAGCGATACGTCTCAAGTTCTTGGTGGTTATAAGATTAGCGGACAGACAGACCGACGGAAATGAGTGACATAGTTTTTCGTGATGTACATGCCATATAACATCCAACAAACAAAATATCTCATTTTCGAAAATTTTCGTATTCACAATACCAACACCAGTAGGGGTGGGGAGAAATACAATTCTAACTTCATTTTTTGACCTTTCAGGGGCTCTTAATCATTTTTAGAAAAAATATTGTAGAGGTTAATAAATAATTGGGGGTAAGGAGAGTACACCTCAAAATTTGGCGTTAAAATATTTATACGCTTCCAGCCTCGGTAATTCTATGAACTATTTGACATATTTTAAACATCGATAGATTTCCCAGTGCATTTGCCCTTAAAATGATATTTTCGACGCACGCGTCTCTGGATCTACCTGCGTCGCCGTTGACCAATGTAGGGTTGTTGTGGCTGGCCTTTGAAACAGCCGGTATATAAATATGGGAGCGAAGTACTTTAAAGTGGACAAGGGCCAATAATTCATATTAATATTTTTTCAACAGACCTCGTACTCTATCTATAAACTCACCTATCTCAGTAGCACTCCGGGTTTGCAAGCGTCTTGCACTGCTTGGTGAGTGTGGCGTATTTGCCGTTGTTGGGTCCATGGAGTGTACCACTATCATGGTGATGGGAGGGGAGCCTTCCTAGTGTATGTCCACGCAAGTGTGACATGTGGGTCCCTCCACTCCCTGGCGGTCCTCTATGGTGATGATGATGGTCACCACTGGAACGTTGATCACATCCATCGCTGTGGAACGATTACATTGTTGTAGGAAAATCGGTATAGTTTTTGCAACTAATACTCAATCTACAAACGGGCAGTCTCAGAGAGGAAGCAATATAGTCTTGTTTGTACAGCAGTCGCCTACCTGTCAGTGACCATGTCGAAGATCCCGCCACACAATTTTTATTCACTCTGCTACGCTATAGAGACGGAATTCACATGGCCGGATCCCAGGCACAGTCACCGACCACTGTATGAACAAACCTAAGTAATGTAGAGATCCGAATCGTTCAATTGAATTCTTCCAAAAGTACTCGCGCTTCTCTTTGCCACCGGTGTGGATGGTTTTATAGAAGTAATGTCACATGGGTCTGTGGAATGATAGCAAATATTGGACTTTACACCGCGCTTAACGTTCGACAGGCAGTATGGTTTCCGGTACCAGCGACCGACGAAAGATCTCCTAGCTTATGCCACGAAACTGTGGAGTAAGCTCATCCAGTCTTATGATGAGGCTCATGTCATTGCTATTGATATCGTTCGGTTAACTGAGGCTTAAGGAAAGTCCCTCCTTCATTGCACCATGTCAAAGCACGTGTTCCCCAGCGATCGGTCATAGCTCCGACATCGTTCCTCTTACATATCAACGACCTCCTTTCCTGTACGGCTAATCCGATCCACAGTTTTAATGCTTCTAAGACTAACAAGAAGCACCCTAGCACTAATCTCGTGTCAATGGATGGTCAAGTTGTACTAAAGAGCCTTTCATTTTGGCTGGTCGGAGTCCAGATCACCGACGACTTGAAAATGCTCGAGCTGCTGTGGTCCGACAGATCGATGACTCTTCTATAACATTCAGTTTCGAGACCCTTTCGAGCCTATGGGCCATCGGTCCTCTAGCTCTCTTCTACCGCTATATAAACGGGCTTTGATACTCAGAGTTCTCCTTCAAGCGCCACCCCGCGATATGCCTACTAGACAGACCCGCCTGTCTAGTCTCGCATCCTAACCGTATCGAACTTCGCACACCCAGAACTATCCGATTCGACCACTCCTTTGTCCCTAGGGTATCGAGATTGAGGATCAATCTACCTGAGGAGACCTATCCCAATTCTACTGACCTTAGGCTGTTCAGAAATTGGATTAACAAACTTTCTTTAATCCCCTCACAGCAGCCCTGCCGACGTGGCCTCGTCGGTAATAAAAAAATGTAAGCCCCTTTGCCCTTTGGGAACAGAAGAGAGCGAGGGTGGTAATTTTTTTTTTGTAAATCTTGTTCGATTTTTGGGTATTTAGAGGCCCCTCACCAAGCCGGAGCACTGTCCAGTTTGCTCATACTCTGAAAAGGGAATAGGATGCCACCAATCTAGGACAGTCCGTTTGGAAAAAGTATTGATTACACATTTTTACTCTATCCATATTCTTATTAATTTTAGTGATAGGTGGCGGCGAGTCAGATGAATATTTTTGGAGAACATAATTTCAAACTGTGCTGGTTATTGTAGTGGCTACATAAATAGAATTGTGTTGAATATTTTATAGGTGTAATTTTCATTTTAGAAAAAAAATGCAATCGTGAAATATTCTCAATATGAAAACATAAATGAAATTTAAAGAACGAATCTTATGTGATCTATGTGAGAATTTAGTATGTTGCCTTGAATGCGGCTATGATATATTTTTATTGAACTACTAACATAACTGCCACTTTTATGGTTGGAAGTAATTAAGAAATAAAAAAATAAATAAAAGTAAACTATCCTTTATTGTTTTCAGTCAGTTTAATACAACAAATAAAAAAAACAAAAAAACACTAAATAGTGAAATAGTCTTGCTGAAAACACTTAAAACTTAGAAAAAAATAGACAATGAGAATACAAGTCAAGCGAGTGGCAATTAAAAATTTGTAGGTATCATCGCGGTTAAAACTACGTTCAAAGAAGCAAAATTTTTACTTTACTCCAGGTTAGCGGAAAATAATTTAATTAAGCCAGCATAGCATAGCGAATATCATCTGACTGCCGACGCAAAATTGCCTAATTTTATAGCCGTGTTCTTTTCTTGAAGTATTTTGTATGATCCTAAATGAAATCTGATTTGTTAAATAAACATGCCACGATTTTTTTATAGATTTAAAAGGGACTGTAACACCGAAAGCATTTAGCGTAGAAGCTACATGCCTGACACATGACAGTGTGATAAAACTAAGGTTAAATCTACTAGGGAAAAAAATGAAAATGTTTGTCTTCTCTAAATGTTTACATGCAAAAATGAATGCAGTGTTATTGTCTCTATTCTTAGGTATGTATATTAAATGAATGATTAGAGAAATTAGTATAAGATATGATTAATTGTTAGGGGATTAACTAAAAATTGGATACGTTTTATCTAAGATGATAATAAGAACGGATTGCTACATAACTAGTGTCATGTACGGAGCTTTAGATATTAGAAAATTCATTTATTTTGGCACATTATTTATAATTTCCAAATTAACCTACTCTAAGGCTGTAGGTCTAGGACATATAGGAATTGCCCCTAAAGGTATTCAAATCTGGATCAATCCAAATTATTAGGTCAAATCACCTTAGCCAAATTTTTAGATCCATAGGTCGTCCCTAGAGGCCTCTTACCTCAAGAACGTGTTTTTTTAAATACGTTTTTTATAGCGGCAGTTTTGTCCCAAACATTTTGAAAAATTACGCATCCTACATAACCGTGATTTTTCATAGATTTGAAGGAAGTAGAGGCTCGAGAAAAACATTTTGGAATTTTTTTGTCGAATTTTCGGTTGGGCAATGATAATTTCGCAAACTTAAAAATCCACTGTATATTAGTGCTTTCTTGCGTGCTTTTCAGATCCACTCACAGAAGCATGAATTTTTACCCGGAAAATCGCTAAATATCGGAAAAACCGCATTTTTGACAATTTAAATGTAGGATATATGTTAATCAACTTAAAAACTCAACGCATACATATGTATTTTTGTCCGTTCTTTCTGGTTCCACAGTCAGAATTTGAATTTGTTTCCCGGAAAATTACGAAAATAGGAAAAACAGCAAAATCGATGAAAATGGAACTGAAGAGTAAGAGGAAATACATGTGTATACAATGATTAACTATTTTAGCCAAGAACTCCTTTTCTGGCCAACAGCGTCAAAGTTTAAAAAACATTTTTTCCTATTTTGGCAAATTTCCGGGGGACAAATCAAAATTTGAACTTCGTCGCCTGAAATAATGGATCAAAATAGGTATGTTTGTCGAGTATTTGAGTTGAGCAACTCAAGATATCCTACGTTTAAACTTTAAAAAATTGGAGAAATCTGGTAAAATGAGGTTTTTCCGATTTTTGGTGATTTTCCGGGCCAAAATCCATGATTTTACAGTGGATTTTTAAGACGGCGGTATTTTCATCACCCACCAAGAATTCGAAAAAAAAATTGATTGATTTTTTTCTCGAACTTATACGTTCCACAAAACTATAAAAAATCACAAATATGTAGAAAATAAAAATGTAGGACTCGTGATTTTTTCAAATTTTTTGAACAAAACTATGCCTGTAAAAAATAGCTATCGAAAAAAACGTTTTTGAGGCTAGAGACCTCTAGGAGCGACATATCATCTGAAAATTTGGATGTGATTTGACCCAATATGCCTTAATTTAAATCAGTCTAGATTTCGACACCTTTGGTGACAATTATCATATTATATAGTTTCGCGTAGAGCCTCTATATTTAACTTCTAATACAACCCTGGAGAACTTGCAAGTCAGTATAATGTTTATTACTAAATATGTATTTCCTTGTTAATAATATTTTAAGAACTGTCATGTTAGGTGTACTGGAGATAAATATCGATTTTTTGTGATGCCTGATACATGAATCTGTAAAATACCCAACTTGTCGATGTGTCTCACTGTGAGAAAAATGTATTTTTTTTTGTAAACCTCTACCCAAAAATATGTTTTTAGAGATACACATTAAATGGCAACCGATAACACTGTATGCACCACCCTGTATATGACTTTCGTCCAACTGTTCATGTTGATCGAGGCGTGTATCTCGCTGTCTTATGTGTGTAAGCTCAACATAATGATCTAAAAAAGCTCATTTGAAAAAATTATGAGAGATTTCGATATGATTCCTTCTACTACTACCAACTCGGAGGGATTTTTGTGGTTGTTTTGGGGAAAATTTGTCCAACCCATTTGGCAATACGACACCAACCGTGCTTTGACAGAGCCGCCACATGAACACCAACAAACAGAGTGCCATTTAGCTCATCACTCAACTAAACTATCTTTGCGTATTTCTTGTAAATCCTTGGTGTAAATAGTCGGAAATCTGTTGGAAATTGTTATTTATTCAGTTATTTATATTTACTTTGAGCGGTGGTAAATTAAATCATTAAACAATTCAACACCAATAGTTCTTCACAAATAACTAAACAGCAGTTTCCCAACTATATACAGCAAACATTTAAAATATGTAAGGCACAAATAGTCGAGGTAATTTGGTGTAAATTGTCGGAAATCTGTAGGTAATTGTTACTGTTATTTAGTTACGTGTAAAGAACTGTTGAAAAGCCTCCCTTAGTGCGATGATAAACTGTTTAACGACGTGCAACGGTAACATGTTTATTGTTTGGATTTCCTGCTATTCTCCAAAATACTGGTAAATTTGTTCCACATGTTTCAGAAAAAGTTATGTCTTGAGAAACAAAATTGGTAGAAATAAGCATGTATTTTATGAGCTCCAGCAGATTTAGGTTTAGTATTCAACTGTTGCTATCATCAGCACATGATGTACGTTTGAGAATAAAAATTCCCCTAATCTCAGATATCCGGATACCACTAGGTGGTGCTAGCATCGGGTACCCATCGTATAGGCGAGCATAAATAGTCGGAAGCTAGATTATATACAGGGTGGCGCGCATCCCGTCATATAAACGAAACCTTGGTTAAACCAAATCAAAAGGCAACGCAAACGACGACAAAAAATTATAAAAAAAGGAAAATCAAGTACTACAGTAATAGCAAGTCAGCCTCATGCGGTAGTGGGGGTGCGGATGCTGTGGATGAGTTCTGGGCGGCTGCATGCACTGCCAACGAGGCGTAGCTGGGCGGGGGGGTGTCAGGTGGGCGTGCCAACCCTTGACTCCGCTGAAGTGTCCTCGCGGCGATGGCTTGGCTACCGGCTGAGGATGGAGGCAAGTACGTTGGGTCGGTCTCGGTTACTTGCTGGTAGTCCTTCCTGGAATCACAAAAGAATACATTTAGCACTGTTTGGAAAAATTCGCAATTTTACTGCTAATGGCGGGTTGACAATCAAAACGCATTTTTCAAGTTGTAACGAAATCCTGTAAATCGCCAACCATATACTGCATTTCGGCGTCCAAAAAATGATCTCAGTGATACTAGCGCCATCTCGTAGACAAGTAGTAAATCGCAAAACTCAATTTAAAAAAGAGTTAGAGTGTTTGGTTCTGCTACTTTCTCATAGATGGCACTAGGATCTTCAATCCCCTCCCCTTTTGGCCGCCGTAATACTCAATTTAATTGGGTATCTGCAGGTGGAATACGTTAATCAATTAAAATTGGCAAAGAAGCGCCTAAAACGGATTGAAGTTTAAAGAAGAGAGAAATAATAATCATAAATTTATTCATCCTTCAGATCTTTACAGATATTGCTCATGTCATCACAATAGAATAAATAGGTTAAAACAGTGGCATATGTGACGACTGATAAAACCTTTTTGGGACATACATGTAGATAAACATTACATAGACAAATAATACAGAATTTAAAGAGTTATACTCGTAATTTTTAGAACATTTTATGGATACTGACAAATGGTAGTCAAGTTTTTGACCCATGTTCAATGAGCTACTTTCATACAAAGTTGTATTATGCTTGATAGATCTTAATAAATGGCTACTTCTCTTACTATACATTTTTATGTACATACATCACAGTGTTCAATGAACTTTTCGGGTGCGTTTGTAAATGTCCACCAATATCAGAGTAAGTATAAGTCTTGAATGATTGCCGACATGATTCCATAGGTTTTAATCCAAATATTAAGCGAATAATTATTTTTTTGTATGATAAATAGTCGTATGGTCAAGGACGGATTACCCTACAGTATTGAGTATTACTTGGTATGATAGACATTAATATACCGATGCAAAATTGACGCTCAATATCTGACAAGTATACAGACACAGTTTTAGGTGTAATATAGCATATAGTTTCTGCTTAATTTCTTTCAAATGGCATCGGTGTTTGTAGATGTTAGTAGACCAGCTGAACCAAACACGTTTTTTTCAAAGTAACTTTCTAAATTAATTTTTTTGTTCTGCTACTGTTTCACAGATGGCACTTGAATCTTTCAGATCTCCTTTTGGATGCCGGAATACAGGTATATGGTGAGCTCTCTTCTAGTAGAATGCATTAATCAGTGATTGCAGTTAAACCACAATGCTCAACCTTTTTGGTTTGACAGTGACATGGTAGTTTAGACTACGGGATGTTACGGAAGTGATAATATCGAAACCGAAGTCGGAATCTGGGATATCAAATTCAGTTTATCGGAATCGGAACCGAAATCAGAGGCTAAAGTCGAAGAAAGATGTGTTAAGGGAAATCACGTTTAATAAAATACATTGTTAGTCAGCCTTTTTCAGTTCAGTTAAAAAAAGTTTTCTAGCAATAGTAACAAATAATAATACGTGTGTTTATTAGAATCGCAACAGTAAGGCGAAGTTTAACCATATGACTACTCTTACACCTTATTACGTGAGGAAATATGTATATAGAGTAAAAAATAAGATACATACAAACCTAAAAATAAATAAACCGATTTGATGTACAAGTGTAGTAATATTTTAAATAGAATGTGTGTAGTAGTTCATTCATTCAAACTATTGACTCCAAAAGAAGCAACTTATAATTAATGAATAAAAGCATTGCAGTTTTACCTCCTTCCAATCTCTGTCTTGACTAGTCATACATTAGGCCAGCACCACTAAAAAGTTGCTCGCTTGCTAGTGCTATTGGCGGGCAATCGAGTTCAGGGGGTTTAAATTTAGTATTTACTTTCCACCATAAGGCATCGTCACTAACAGGAAATCGTTTTTCTCTATAGTACTCATTATTGGTATCATCATCATCGCTTCGCAATATTTTTGATAAAATTGTTTCGATAACTTCCGATTCAAAAGTTACGGAATCGAAATCGGAAAGTTTAAAAATAAACGCAGAAGCAGCATTGCCACATCAACAATTACGGGTTAGTTAACCAGAACTTGACTTTACGGGTAATTGATAGTTAACTCCCAAGTTATAGTTGCCTAACTTAAAGAGTTAACCTGCGATTGGAAAAGCTGGCCTACGTAGTCTATGAACGACAAATGACGTGTGAGAAGCACATCATCTAAAAGAAGGATCGTATTATTTTTAGATTATACTTATATTGCACCGAGATAAAAATGAATCATAATATTATTAGCTTCAAATGTGGTAAAACGTCCCATTATTTGATGGAATTTAGTAAAACAACCTTTGTTGTACTTGATACAAAGTCCCACATCGCACATTGAACGTTTCCTTAAGGTGCGCGTGATTATACCTGCTGTTCTCACCAGCTGAGCTATTTTGTTGGCTATCATTTTATTACTGATAAAAGGCCTCAATCATAGACAACCAGTAAATGCCTCGTGGAAACGTCCATCAGGATCCAAATAAATTGACTAAAAATTCGATGTCATCAAAGGAGATCAGTGAGCCGCGAAGTGTTAAAAGACGAGTACTTACTTCTTTCTGATGTATATCCAAGTATGCGAGTCTACCCACACGAGAACTGTCAACAGGAACCCAGACAGCACAGCAGACACCAGCATCAGTGCCAGCCCCAGCAATCCCACGTTACACAATGCCCGGGCACCTCTCAAGTAATGCATGTGGAGAGTCCTGCAGTCCACGAGAGCGGTCAGAGAGTGGATTAAGTTGTCAGCGGCGTTGATGTCGTTCCTCAGGGAGCTGAACTTCGTGTCGAGGCCCTTGATCAGAATAATGTTTTTTTATTCAATACAAGCCAACTTTTGCAAATCAGAAATCTGTCACCGCTATTGTAAAATATTAGAATTCGAATGTCTAAAGTGAACCTGGAAGGCGTAAAGCACACATATGAATATTTTACACCAGCATTGACGAATGTTCTATATGAATATCTGCACCCGTATTATGTAAAATAGTATCATCATATTTGTCACAGCGCAATGACAATCGGTCTGTCTGGCTGGCCAACCAGATTGAAGGAACTTCTCAAAGAGCAGGCCTTACACCGCTTCCGTGCCAGGATGGAATGATTGTAACCTACTCAAAGGCTAAGAGACGTGCAGCTCCAGCTATTTCGCGTCTCTTCAAGATATCTTACGAATCAGGCACTTTCCAGAAAACTGGAAGTTTGCTCATGTCCAGCCTATCCCAAAAAAAAGGAACTAAGATCGACCCTTACAACTAAAGCACTGTAGCTCTGAGTTTTATTACAAGTAAGATGATAGAAATGTGCATAAATCTAAGTACCTTAAACGGCACAGCTTGATTAGCGACAGGCAGTTTGGCTTCCGGCATCAGCGATCCATGGGGGACTAGATTACAATACACAACTGAGGAGTAAATTCATCCAGTCATACGATGAGGCTCATGATATAACGCGAGGGGCATGATGTCCTCTTATGTAACTTACATCCTATGGCCTTCCAAAGAAGCTTTGCAGATGGTTGCCCGACTTTTTTTCTGACCACAAGATATCAATCGTAATTGACCGATTCTCCTCTTCATCTCACAATGTCAAAGCAGGTGTTCCCCAGGGATCGGTTTTGGCTTCGGCATTGTTCCTTTTACAATTCTTTCCTGTCCGATCAAACCGATCCATAGCTTTGCTGACGACAGCACTCTACAAGCAGGAATTCAGAGTGACAAGTCGATCTGGATGGGTGACCTGGAGGTTATCTAAGCTTGAGGCCGCAACAATCTTGTACAGTTTAATGCTTCCAAGACACAGTACTGTATCTTGACTAACAAGAAGCGCCCTAGCTCAGAACCGGCCGATACAACCGCACCTTTGTCGTTAGAGTATTGAGATTGTGGAACAATCTACCTGATGAGGCTTTTCCCAGGTCTACTAAAGTTAGGCAGTTCAAAAATCCCGGCTACTCCGGTATAAAGAAAAACTTGTGTACTAGCTAGTCACTAGTCCATGCCACGCGTACTCGCCGTGAAAGGCACCTATGGAGGAATGGTACAACGACCTACAGTATAGAACTTACAGCTTAGTCCACAGAATCTACGAATGAACTCCGCTAGTGCCATCTTTGGAGCAGTACACATCTTGACGTTTAGGCAACAGACACAGCTGCTACAAGTGAACATGACGTGAATGATAGTTAGTTCCAAGTGACAATTATGACGATATGGCTATTCTGTAACTTTGTAGTTACGTAATACGGATGCCGGTCTTGGAAGCCGTCATCTTTATAGCAGGGTAGATGAAAATTTACAAGTAAATTTAAATTAACGATCGATTCAACCGAAGGAGGTAATATCTCCACATAATGAATGTATGATATGAATAGATCTGAAAACCATATTGGTCTATTTTTGGACCTACCTTTTTGGGATACAGATACTCGGCGGGCTTCATCATCAGGTTTAGGTTGTTCCGCATGTTCATCAGGGTGGTCTTGGCCTCACGGAGGCGTTGCGTGAACGGGTTGGCTCTGGCTCTTTCGCAATTCGTGTAGTACTTAAGGATCTCCTGCAAGAATGGAATATAGACTATCTGAATTTAGCAAAAAAAACGAATTCCATAGAAAAACTCTTCTCATATCTGTGCGTGAAGCAATATGACGATTTATAAAACGGATTGAAAATTATTTAATAAATGAGCCCATTTTACATCATGTATGTATTTGACTGGCTAAGCAATCGTAACGTGGAAACATTGATAATAGTTGTGAATAATTGACTGTCAAAAAGAAAAAGAAGCATACATTGAAATTCATTTATGTTTTTGTGCATAGATTTTAATGTGCATGAGAGAGAGAGAGAGAAAGAGAAGCGTGCAGCACCGTATGTTAGAAAAAGTCCGCCCCGTAAGCATGCGACAGTGAGGAAAAGCGCGGAGTTATACCATTTTCTTGAATTATGATGCAAGGTGGAGATAAGCTTTAGTGTGTTTTCTACGCCCAAATAATGATTTTATTTTAAGCGTACACATTTATTGTGACAAATCGGTTTAGAACCGATTGCGGATCAATCTTAACGGTTCTCCGATTTTAGGTGCAGCTGCAAGTTTAGGATCATCAAAAATTCTGAGTCATTGTTTTAGCAACACCGCATCTCGTTACATTTCAAGGAAATATTTCCACCTCTATAGATTCATGATAGTCCAGCGCTATTAGCGTTTTTCCAACAAGAAATCAGTTGAATACCGCGCACTTATTACGTGACTTAAAAAATGACATCATATCTTTTTTTTATGACATGTAGGTTTTTATTGACCTTATGTAGGAATTCAGAAAAAATGCCAACTTGGAACTACCTGTCATTCACTTCATGTTCACTTGTAGCAGCTTACGTGTTACTAAAATTTAAAAATCCTCGAATCCGTGTCCAGTACTTATCGAGAGTGGTTGGTATATCGGTACTCAAATGATTACATGTTGAAAAAAAAAAACACGCTTGTAGCACTGGACTATCATGAATCTACAGAGGTTGGAAACCTTGCGTTGTTGTCCAAACAATGATGCAATGTTGCAAAATCAGAGAACCGTTAAGACTTAGCCCGAATCAGTTCTAATCCGATTCGACTCAATTCGCGACTCAGAAATCTGTATGCTGAAGATAAAACCATTATTTGGGCGTCGAAAATAAATCCTTATTTGCACCATGCATCATAATTCAAGGGAATGGCAACTCGGCAAGTTACTGCCATGCTCCGCGCCCCCGCACACTGTTGCTTATAGAGCGCATTCTTTCTACCATACGTGTTCTATGGTTTACGCTTCTCTCTCTGTCTTGTACAAATTTATTTTTTTATTTTATACATAATTGCCCAACAGAACTATTCCAATTAGAGGACAATATAATGGTATCTTTACTTATAATACATACATATAATGTATACATAAAACTAACTTAAAAACAGAATTAGCTATTATAATAGTACCTGAAACTCGATCTTACTGATACAATCAAAATTAATGTCAGAACTGTCTGCTATGGAATTATAATTGTTGCATATAGAATGTAGCGGAGAATAAAATAATACATTGGTACGGGAGGTACTGCAGTAGAAAGTTAGAGTTCTTCTCGTATTTAACCGTGGAATACATAAATTTAACCTCTGGAGAAGTTCTGGTGCATCCACTCTGTCATGCAAAAGCTTATGAAGGAATGACAGGCCAGCAGTGGAACGTCTTAACTGTAGTTCAAAACGACGCAGCCCAACAAATTGAGAGACTTCCGTTTCTGGATATGTGCCATCGAAATTTTCTTTGTACATTTTCTAAGATGTTTATATAATACGCATAGAAAGGGTTCCATATCAAAGAAGCATACTCAAGTTTTGGTCGCACCAGTGAAATAAAAAGAACTTTTAGTGCCGCTTCGTTGGAAAAAGATCGGCAGTTACGCATTATGAAACCCAGAATCCGTGTCGCTTCGGAAGTGACGCGTGCTACATGGACAGAAAAGTCCAATCTACAGGAAAATGTTACACCAAGATCTTTAGTCTCTGTTGTTCTCTCCAAAACCGCATTATTTATGGAGTAATCAAACATAATCGGGTTCGTTTTACGACAATATGAACATACTTTGCATTTGGAAATATTTAAGAAGAGAATATTATTGTCGCACCACTGTCTGATGGTACGCAGATGGTCCTAAAGGGAAATCTAGCTCTCCCAATTTGTAATTTTGGTGTAGATTTTCAGATCATCAGCAAATAGTAGAGATTCACACTTTAGCGAAGCGGCTAGGTTATTTATGAAGAATAAAAACAGTAAGGGACCTAGGTTTGAACCTTGCGGTACTCCAGAGGGAACAGTATAATTAGCTGAAAAATAACCATTATAATAAGCATATTGCGTCCTATTAGAAACGACGGGGGCACATTGAAAGCGGCGCCCAAAAACGTAAACGAATTTCACTGTATATGTATAAATGTGAATGTCTGTTCAATCTGTCAGCAACAAGTTTGAGCCACAATACGGGGAGACGTAAAAATTTGTACACTTACTAATTGAAACTCGTAAGGTGATATTCCAAAACTACGGATAGATCAAAATATCTCGAAAAATACGTATTCTAGAGAAAAATGTTGTGGATTAAAGTTGTAAGGTTTGAAAAGATTCATTAATTTTAGTAATCTTGAACGTGACCTTGACTATTTATTCCCTTCAGGATCAAGATAGCTTTATTAAATGGAACCCCTATATTTGACACCTACAATGCAAAGATCAGGAAATTTTACGTTAAAGTACGCCTTTGTTCATGACCTTGACCATGACCATCATGGGTATTTGAGGGTGTCCAGAAAGGATGAAAAGGACAAAATATCTCGAAAAATAGTAGATGTGTGTAATAGAGTTGCAAGGATTCATCTAGAGGTGACCTTGACTATTATACAAGGTAATTTGAAGGTCAAAACAGTCTTCTTAAATGGAAATCCCTATTTCTCACATCGGAAATTAAAAGAACAAGCATGTCCATAATATTGACTCTGCCATCATTTGAAGATAAAACGAATTTTTAACGGGAAACAAGTGCTTTTGACTCCTGGAAAATGTTCATTGCCAAAGTAACTATTGAAGTATGTACACCTAGTTTTGAAGGACTTTTAGCTTATTTACAACCTCAAACAAGTGTCTTTCTTTTTGAATCCATTAACTAAAATTGAATAATAGTGTCAATAGATTATTATTATTATTATTATCATTATTATTACTTTGAATATTGCATTTCTTTCTCGAAACCAATCTCGTTCACACTAATGCGAAACGGATGACTTATCCCCTACGCTACTTCCACGTGAACGAAGCAACTGGTTTAGTACAGTCTAGTAAATAAAATAGTCTGTGGTGACCCTCATTCCTTACCTTTGAAAGCTCCGAACTGGCCTGATCCTCAATGAACTTATCCGGCGCCATGCACAGATCTCCAAGAGCGACACTGGATGCCAGATACACGCTGGCCATCAGATATGACATTATGACAGCTAGTAGACCACAAACCGAGAACACGATCAGGAAGAATCGGTTATGTCTTGCCACTCCCAACAGCAGGATCACCAACAGCACCAAGAAACCGCTCAGGACTGCCATCGTAGCTGGCCATCTTATACTCTCGATCTTCTCACCGAAGACTATGGTCGTGGTGAGGTTCAGACCGGCTAGGGGTGCGCGAATGTCCCTGGCCGCGTTTGCTGTCAAGTTTCTGTTTTCTGAAAGGTGGAAGAGTGGGTCATATCGAATACTAGGTCGACGAATTCAAACGGGGCAGATTGCGTCACCTAGAGGCATTATTGGAGATTAAAGTAAGGCTGAGTTACCAGAAGAGCCACTCCATCGAAAAAACAGACTCTGTCGCGGTGGCTGAGATGATCGTGTACAGGTAGCATCTTCACATCTGCTCGAAAAAAATCAATATTAGATTTTTTGCACAACCTTAATAAAAAAAGAAACAATTTTTGTCGCAATTTTAGGTGTGGTAACATGCAGATTCATTATAATGGGTCTTTTTGACATTATGCAAAAAAAAAATCCAAATATTTTTCTTATTAGATGAGAAGATAATTCCTGTACTATAACTACCCCAGCATATTTGAAGTCCGTTTTTTCATACAGGAGCTCAGGTCGAGGTGTACTTGACGAATGAGATCCTTCCATAATTTATCTATGGCTCAAAAGTGTTCCAATGCCAAAAACGCGATATCACAAAATCGTGATGTGTAGTTTTACTTCTAATTTCCAAAATAACCCATGATTAATTTGAAAGCTTGATAGTGCCTTTTCGGAGCTTCATTGAATATGTTACGGCATAGGAATAAATATGTATTTACAAAGAACTTGGTTGAGCTAGCTTGTGTAGACAACGTAGGAAACTACTGAAAACAGTATTGGGCGTCAGTTTCACTCACCCTTCTGAACAGCTTTCTGCTGATCATTTTCTTTCACTTTATACACAAGTTCGCATTTATTTTCAATTTAAATATGTTACCCGGGATATAGTCACTTTTAGGGTACAAAAAAACGTTTAAAATAGTTCAGCACATCAAACCATTCAGAAATTCTGATAAGACATAGTTAAGGCTGAACTTCGTGATACTTTATTTGATGCCCTTGAAGTGAGTTGGGGTCTAGTTTAGGGAAACATAACCTAGATCAATTTTTGAACAAAGTTTCATGTACGCTCCTTAATGTTACATCTAAAACTTATCCTGATAAATTTCGAACACAAGTAGAATGAAAGATTTTTTGTTGTTTTTCAGACTACTTCATACTCACTGGAACGGGAATGTCGTTGGCTTATGCAAGTTGAAATTAGAACATAAGCAGTTCGCCAACGACGTGACCTTACGAGATAAGAGGATAAGAGGAAGATCAAAATATTGACAGAATGTAACTTACCAACCAATTTTTTAAAGTATTCATCCACTGTTTTAAATAGGCTTTGGTTTAACGTGTGAACCTGAAATACAAATAAATAAATGTAATGATGCAAATTTCAATAACTTGAGATTTTGTTTAAGCTTCATATGTTGTAAAAAACGACTTTAGTAAAAAATAGCTGCTAAATGTTGGGGGTATTTACCAACATTAGGATGTAGACAGGATATTAACATTTTTGCCTGGAAAAAGTATATACTGTTTTCACTTTTCTCTGTGGACGAGAGGATTACATTTTACAAAAGGTACTCCAATGAAATTACGCCAAATACCTCGAATTCAAAACAGAATAGCAATTTGGAGAAATGAGATATAAAACGCCCTGGTATCATCGTCGCGGTGGTCAAAGACCGCGATACGATGACCAGCTGGGGCACCATCGCGTCGGCATGGCTGAATTCGGATCGGAACTTTCGCAGATAAAGGATATCGCGAGTTGCTAGGTAGCTGATCTTGCTGGAGTCAGAGACGTAAATATTAAATGAAAAATGTTTGATATGTTGGTAATATTACCGGGATCACAAATTTCTGAATAGAAAACGCCTTTCGCTCATGCCAAAGTTGCTATATTCACAACCTCCTACCCTCTACAACAGCTATATTTTTTTTTAAAATTAATCAGGCTCATATGAAACATGAAAAGAACGGGCCAAATTTATATCAGGCCAAGAATTAGCGGACAGACACATATGAGTGACATGGTTTTTCATTATGTACAACTCTTTCTCGCCAGTGGCGTGGGAAGTAAAAAGGAAAATCGTACTTAAAAAATACAACACCCAATAGCTGGAACCGTAAAGCTCGTCAATAAAACACGGTTTTCCATATTAACATATCCTTTTTTACTTTTTTACATATTATCAAAAAAAGGTTGTTTAATAATAACACAGGTCGACAAAAGTTAGCGACCCTCTTACCCAAAAACCAGAAGATTGACCGAAGGTTTCTGATGCGATGGCCTAACAAAAAGGTATAGAAATAGCTTTTTTTTATATTTGGAGTTATGTGGCACGGAATTTTTTTTAAAAAACCATAGGAACCATCTCAGTGTCCCATGTTCCTGTCAAATGCCGTTGACTTTGCTTCCATATCCTTTTCTTTCGTTGAAATATGGAATTTTTTTCATTTTTCTGATCTAGCTCGGTTCAGCTTTTATGAGAAGAACGAAAATTCTTATTTACAACAACTGTGTAATTGAAAGTAGGAACGTTAATCTCGGCCTTAATAAGGTCGAGTGGGTTGTAAGCTTGTGGTTTGAGTAGGTTTGTGGATTTAGTGTTGAGGATATATTTGGTTCCATAAAAATACATCAACTAATTTATTAAATCATAACGTGTACAATATCAAACACAGTGAAATTCAGAAAAATGAAATCGTCAAAGTGCCATATCTCAGCGAAGAAAAAAGTTGTTTAAGCAAACTTAACGGCATTTGAAGTAGCAAAGGCTTGAGATATCTATTGTTTTTTGTCAAAAAAAAATCGACTTGCTACATAACCTCAAATATAGGCACACATCGCTATTTTTCTACTTTTAGGAGGATGTTTCGTAAAGTATGGCTAATTAAGAGATTTGGACCACGGATTCCGATCCAGCGCATCAAAAACCTTCGGGCAACTATACTCTTGTTTTTAGGTAAAAATCTTGTCAGCCACTGTAAGGTTCCCTGTAAATGTATAATATCAAACCCACCTGAAACACATTCTGTATCTCCCTAATCTGTATCTCCGCCTGCACCCTGAGCTGCCTCTCGATGTCCAGCGTGTGATTGCGCACGCGCGCCACCAACTGATCCACCTGCTGCGCCTGTTGAAGCGCTTCGACCGCCCCGTTGTGGGCGTCGTCGTTACCATAGAGACCGAGGCCGACGCATGCGCAGCACGCGACGGCCGTTGCGGCGAGCACCGCCTTCAAGGCGGAGATGGAGCGTTGGGGGCGTGGCCTACGATCGCAGCAGCGGGTGAGTAGGTAGACCAAAAGGAGCAGGAGGGTGAGGATCAAGCAGGCGGCCGGCAGCGAGGCCAAGATGCCCAGGCTCTGTAATGAAAACAAGAATAATGATAATTTGGGCAACCAAAAGATATGAGTAAGATAATAATAAATTGTTCGATAATTAAATTTGAAACTATTTGACTTGGACATTCAGAAAATTTAATTGTGGAACTTTTTACGACGGAGGAATGCACTACTACTAGGAGGGTACACTCTTATTTTTGTATGGAAATTACGATAATGGAGCGGTAAAAGTCCACGGCGAACGTTGCCACAAATAATGTGAACTTTTCGAGTAGTGCATTCTAATGCCGAGTCCACACCAAGCCAACAAAACGGCAACTCAATGTTTTTCACCAATTAAGCAGCAAATCGGCAACATTTCGTCAACAATTCGTGTTTTGTTTCTGATTCTGGCAACTTTTGGCGTTCCCTTCGCGAGTCGGTAAAGATCAAAAGGTTTCTCTTTGGTTTTCATTTCAGGCAACATTATCGGTGCGATGTGTACTTTGTTGCGAATCAAATATAAAACAGAAAGTAGTATCAAAAACCTACCTTAATATATTCTTTGAGTCCTTAAGTTAGGGCATTACAAGTTTCTGGTATTATTATCGATATTGCTAGTTTTGATATTTTTGACTGATACATCAAGCGATAAGAGTCTCCGGTCGCCAAAAATCTTAGTGTTACTGAAATTGGTATTTTTTATAAATTTCAGGACCGATCAGCTGTATTAATTCTTCAAAGTTTTCACTTGACATTCTTAAAAAGTTCTCGAAACTAGAACACATTTCTCCTCGCAATCCAATATCATCTTTACTCAAATCGGACAATTTTTCAATACTACGATCATCTCTTTCACGTAAGGATGGTTTCACCCAAAAGCGTTTTTCATTTTCCCGGCCACAACTCTGGAGAAACGCCTAACCAACAGACATTATGATAAAATATAAAAACGCCACATATTTTCACTATGAAAATTTTTGGTGAGAACTGCTCGAAACTGTTTTGTCTCTTGGCAATGTGGACATAAGTTTTCATTTTGTTTTGTTTACAAAAAGTTGCTCATTTGTTGGGTTTCTGTTTTGTTCCTTGTTTTGTTGCTTTGATGTGGACCCGGCATTACAATATGTCCTTTCAACAAAATAAGGTCAAGTGTCCGGCGAGGGAAATTTTGGAATTGGCACAAATACGTTTTACTAATGGCCGGCTTGACTTCTCTATGTAGAGATTCCCTATTCTCTGAATCACCTAAATTACAAAAGTCTGTATCATTTACCCCAATCAGCATATGCCGATCTATTCATAGCTTTTTTTTACTACATGATTCAAGCAACCGCTGACCTGTTTAATGAAGTTTTTACATCTTGTCAACTTTGGTTTCATTCCCCAACGTTTTTTTATCATAAATATGCCTGATTAAATTAATATTTGAATATTTTACAATTAACCTAGATGCGTGACATGAAGGGTTTTTCATGCAGTATTTGTAAATATTGTCACGCAAACAATACGGTATCATGACAAAAGTATTATACAAACAGAGTGTTATCATGTTATTTCCCGCAACAGCAGCGGGTGACATTGCAATATGATATAATGCATTTTCTAGGTGATTTATTGTGTACGTTAAAAAAGATGAATCAAATGGAATGAAAACACAATGAGCCGTATTCATAAAAGAGAAGCATATCCTCGGAAGCATAAGGTAAAAGTATAAGGTCTTGCTTTGGAGAAAAAGGTAGAAGTATAAGCATATCCTTGTTTTCAAACTCATAATGATTACCTTATACTCGCGAGGATATCCTCCAAGAAGAATTAAAAGGTTGACTGGTATTTGTATCTTGAGCAACATGTCCTGACTTGTTTCAGCTTGTAGTTGACGTGGGAGTTCGTTCACTCAGCATCACTGACAGTTGAACTCCAGAGCTTACACAGACTGTTCCGTATTTTTACTGGATACAGTTTTTTTATCAAATTAATAAGCATGTCATCCTCAGGTGATGAGGAAACTATAGAAAATAATGGCAACGACCTGCAGTTCATCGCAGATGAAATTGCCATTGCTCCCATTATTTTGCAAAAGTCACAAGTTCCAAAAATAAAAATGAGAAAGGACGATGCCTTGAAGAAGATGTTGAAAAAATACGAATCAACATTCGGTAAACCATTAGATACTAAAGGCTTACTAAACAAAATCAACAACATGAAATCAAGATTGAAGAAAAAAACAGATCTAAAAAAAAACTGTTAATAAAGCAATTAAATTGTTAGATTCGGAAAGAAAGTTGCTGAAGATATGGAAGGTGACTGTAATCCTACAAGTGGGAAAATTAGAGGTGCCATTCAGGTTGGTAGTGTTCAAGAAGAAGGAAGTGAACTATAGACCGAGCACAGTGAGCGAACAGTTAGTATTACAGCGCCAGCAATTCAGAAGACATTGCCATCAAAAAGAAAATTAGCAACATAGAAATACGAAACTGAGTAAACCAAAGGGTTAACTACAAAAGGACTGCAACTGCAGTTGGTGGAGAGGAAGTTCGTCATTCTCATGATTTCCTTCATCTTCATCTGGGTCTTGTTCAACCAACTTAAAGTTAGGATCGCCCAAGTTCTTCGCAACATTATGGAGTACAATGCAAGCAATAATTATTTTCTGCACATTTTCGAACTTTACGCGGCAAACATACTGTAGGATAGGAAACCGGCGTTTCAGTTGGCCGAAACAGCGTTCAATTATAACTCTTTCTTGATTTAAAAGCTTATTATAATTTATTTCTGCACCTGGAGTAGGATTTCTGAAGGGAGTCATAAGGCGCGCCTTAGTACCATAACCATAATCGCCAAGTAGTACAGCATTTGCTTTATTTATTAGTTGTGATCTAGTCTGTGAATTTCTTTATATTCTGGAATCATGCACTGATCCAGGCCAAATGACATCAACACTTGTGAACATCTCTCTGGCATCACAAGTGGCTTGCACATTTAAAGTAGGTTTCCCTTTTCGGTTGATATACTCATCTCCATGTCAATTTGGTTTCAGGATTCCTATATGTGTACGATCAATTACAGCAATTGCTGTCGGAAATTTATACATGCTTTGCCATATCCGCTTGGCCTCCATCAGTTCTGGTTGGTAGTTGGAAACTTGATCCATTCGTTCCACTGTGCAACTATGCTGTTCACAACTCTATCCACAGTCCGAAATACCGTTGCTTGACACAAAGTTCCTGACCAATACCTTGTTGATATCCAGGGTCACCGAGATAGCGTAGACATATCTTCATTTTATGAATACTTGAAAGTGCTCCTCCTCGAGTTTCCTTATTCTCAACTAAAAATCTGTCCGCTAGCCATTGTATATTTGCTTCCTCGAACCGATATAATTTTTTGTGTGGTTCCAGCAGGATGGGGCGACCGCCCACACAGCACGAGCCTCCATGGACGTTATTCGCCCTCTCTTCCCTGGTCGCCTTATTTCCAGGTTTGGCGATCTTCATTGGCCTCCTCGGTCCCCAGATTTATCCATATGCGATTTTTTCTTATGGGGACACCTCAAGGCTAGAGTATACGCGAACAAGCCCCGAACTCTGGACGAATTGAAGGGCGAAATTCGCGTGGATGTCGCCCAAGTTGAGAGAGCGATGTTGGAGAGAGTCTACGCGAACTTCCAAGAACGCCTCCAGCACTGCATCAACGATTTCGGCCACCACATGCCTGATGTGATTTTCCACACTTGACTGTCTCAAATGCTATTTCCTTCTGAACCTGATTCCGTCAATAAATTTGTTTTCGAGGAAAAATTAACTATTTTATGATTTTTTTAAAACCGTCCATCCTCTCTGCCGCACCTTGTACAACCGTCTGCTTACGGTTGTGTTTCATCTCCTTTCTCGTTCGTTCACTCACAACTAGTTTGATTGGATCAGCAGGATCCTGTAATACCAGTCTGTCGTAGTGAACCAGTTTTTAACGAATGATGAACTAGTTTTCATAAGTAATCATAAGAATCGTTCGATTGAACTACTTCGTTCGCGAAGTACACACCACTAACCGTAATGCAGAGACGCGTAAATCTATGATGTGTAAAATATGTCTAATAGGTGCGTAGAATTACCGGGGTTGAAAGTGTATTAATACAGTAGCATCAAGAAAATGCGATATTACCCTCCCCCACCCCTAAATTATTTACCCCTAAAAATGACCAGGATCCTCTGAAACGTCAAAAAACTGGATCGATTTTCAGAAACTACAAAGCTTTTTCGTCCTTGGCATAGTAGTAACCTTGTGTAAAAAACATAATATCTCTTTTTCGAATTCTTTCGCGATTGCAATACTTTCTCGCCAGTAGGCATGGGAAGTAAATACGATATCTTATTCAACTGAAAATCGCAGTCTTTCATTGTCAGACCGAGAATTTATCACCCTACCCTAATAAAAATTTGGAAAACATAAACCTGGGACTTAATTTGATAGCACTTAGTACCTGCCCTATTGTTCTCAACTTGTGGTATACTTCACGTCGAATAATGGCAAAATTAAGGATGCTGCGTTCGTACAACCTAAAAGCATCCCGTCGAGCTTGAGAACAACGTGTAGGGCAAATTATAATAATAAAGCCATTATTATTTAATTAGTGTCTCCATGTATAACGTACAACACCTACGGTTAGCTATACGCTGATATGAACGTAATAAAGATAAGAATCTTCCTGCAACTTTTCAAGGAAAACGAAGTCATTCTATCCGTTTTAGGATGGGGCGAGGCTGTAGCTTTAGATTTACACAACGTCTTAGTCCAGGAAAATTATATGCGACATTCATGCCTGATAGACAAGACAAATGTAGTATGACCAAGCTAATATATGACGGATGTCTGATATGATTGAGGATATAATAAGTTCGCCACTGTAAAGCTTGTCCAAGTGTCCCGTTTTGTGATTAACCGAAGTCATCATCAATTAGCAAAGATGGATATCTTTTTCAGAATCTGATCTGGAAATGAACATACAAGCTCTTGCGACTTAAAAATTCGCAGAGTTTTTG